GTATTTTACAGTAATTAATGCCCTACCTTCCTCCCCGCTTAAAAATCCTTCCTGTTATTTACTCTACTTGATGGGTTAAAATAAGATTAAAAAAAGATAAAAAAATATAGACTGTCCTGGAAGAGGAGTCAGAGAGATGGAGAAACCCAGGAAAACAGACAGAGATGATGGGTAGAAGGCATCTTTCTCCCCTTCCCTTAGCTTCTGGGATCCCATGGATTTGTCTGTATTAGAGAGGCTGCTGTGTATGAACATGGTTTTGTACCCAGTAACCATCAAACCTGGCAACATCCTTGAAGTCTGTAGCAGCAGTGGTTTGACTGCCCAGACAAAAATCTATTTGATATCTGAGTCCCTCTCTGCCATGTAGCAGGAGACAGCCTATTAGTGAGTTGGTGTCCATGTAGGCCTGGAGAAGACTGGAAAGGCTGGAGCCCATCAGGGATGCCCACAGGGTACAGATTCCCTGCCTCCTCACCAGTCTCAAGGTGGAGCTGCCTGGCTGGGGATGGTGTTGCCTGGCGGGCTGGAGATCCAGTAGGGAGTTTGCAAGAGCTCAGTATGGAGCAGGGGTTGTGAGTGGTTTTCTCATCACACCTAGGTCTGCTGTTACTTCCATTTATGGGTGTTTCGTGTGCGCAGCTGAATGATGGTTTTGAAGCTGAGGATAAAACAGCTTTCCCTTTCCTTTGGTGACTGTGCAAGTCAGTTAACCAATTCCATTGAATTCCATTAGCCAGTCAACGGCATGTGGACCTGGAGGAAAACAGCAAGTACCAAGCAGTAAAAGGCCAAGGCCAGCCAGAAAAAGGGGTGAAAATAACTCATTTATTCTCTCTGAGCCTGATGTCGACACACAACTGTGCCTTTCTCCTCTGTCCTGCTGTGCCCTGAACTGTCTCAGTCTCCTGGGGCGAAACTCACCCACAGGGAGGTCCAAGGACCACAAAGCAGCCCAAAGAGCCACAAACATGGGGGTGTGACAGCTCTGCCTGAGGGGTTCACCACTGATCTCATTGGGGTGTAGGGCAGGGACTTTATTTATCCAGCTGAGGGTGGGAAGGAGGATAAAAACATGTTCACATGTAATGCATCACTTTGTTAAACTTGGGGTGGAGGGGAGGGGTGGCTGGAGAGCAGTTCAGGCACAGCACTGCGTTAACCTGAGGACGGTGTTCTGCCTGGAAGTTGCCACGCATTTTGTTTTCAGAATGAATGGACTTCTCACTGAAAAAAAAGGCCATTTTAGGTCAAACGAAACTCTTTTCAAATCTGAACTGAAGAAGCGCAGAATTTCCCTGCTAAAACAATCCAGAGGGAAAAACAAAATCAGAGCTAAAAAACCTCAGAGCATTGTTGGGTACTTTCAAAATTTTAAACATCTGACTTCTCATTTTCCAGTCATGTTTTGTTGATCAACTGTGATTAAACCATGACTTAAAGGTTACCAAGGCATAAATAAAAACCATAAACCAGCTTCTCCAACAGAAGTCTCTTTCTTTGCCTGAGAAAGTGGGAAAAGGCAGCTCAATCCCTGTCACAGCTGTACATGCATATACCTGGTGACTTAAGTGAGAACCAAAGAGGTTTTATCTGCTTTTTGGGGTGTCTGGCAGGCACAGGTAGGCTCACACTGCTGATGCCCTTTACTTTCCTCTCTTTGTTCAGGGTTTAGGTGCTGTACTACCATTACCACAGCTTTCCAGCTGAGGCCATCTCATGTGTGTGCTGTCCATATGGACATGCCCGCTGAGGCAGGAAGAATGTGCTTCTTCCCCCAGTTCCCACAGCACTGCCTCTGTCATTTGTAAAAATATCTGTATCCCGCAGGAATAAAGTCCCCAAGGAAAGGGCAGATGGATTCAGGCACTCTGGGGTAACAAGGTCTCCGTGTCAGGGACAGCAAGATGGAAATGACTTTGGAGCATTTTGGGATCACTAATGCTGCTGCCATTGCAAAAATGAGGGATTGAAAGGGCATCAGGATTGATGAATGGTGAGGAAATAAGGATGGAGGGAAAGTATCCAAGATTTCAACTGCAGAAAGCACCAGGCTGTGCAGGATATTTTTCACTGTGCTCCCTGAAAAACACTCGTCCTTCGAAGTAGCTCCTTGTGTGAGGACTCCCTTGGAGTTGCCCTCCACCCTGTCCCAGGCCCCCTTGCAGCTTTGTCCTTCCTCGTGGGCAGCTGGGGAAAAATCAGTGGCTGTCACTTCTAATGCCACCTGAGGAGTGACTAATGGAAATCTGTTTTGGATGGAGGGAGCACTACAGGACCATGTCTGGCATACTGCAGCAATTACATATATATTGTCATCTTTGAGCGTTACAAATGGCTCAGAGCGTTGCTAAGAGCTTCGCCCATGCAATTAATGACATCAAATAGCCAAGTCCCTGCATTTCTGAGGGCAGGCAGCCACACAGGATGGAGACAACCACTCTGGCACCAAAGAAGCACTGCATAGCTCTTCCTCACCCTCCTCACAACACGTAGAAATACTGGAAGCCCACCCTCCGAAATAGCAGTGGGTAGCACCAAGCATCCACTCAGCACCTGTGTTTTCCTTGCAGGCTCATGCAGTTCCAGCTGATGGATGGCTGCATTGGATAAGCCCCTGCCTGTGAATGGACAGGGATTGGGAGCAAGCAAGTGCCATGGTTTGTGGCTCTGCTGCCAGCTCCAGACAAAGGATTTGGAAATAGCTTACAAGCATGTTGCAAAGAGGCTGGAGCTTGGACTGCTAAGGAGGGGAGGCAGCAAAGCAATGGAGGAAGAAGAAAGGTGATACCAGTACGGGCAGCAGACTGGGAAGGTGCTGCTCAGAAGGGTGAAGCAGTGACCCGTTTCCAGGTGTGGGCAGCCATACCATGGCAAACAGCAATCCTCTGGTGATCATGCAGGGACAGGAGACAGGCAGGCTCTTCTCCTGGGCTGAGGTGATTTTGAGGTACACAGGAGGTAGGATATAGGAGAGGCAGAGGGCTGGGACCTGTCCCAGTTGGGACCAGCACAAGGGCAAGTACAAGACCTCGTGTAGCCTGTGGGTCTGACCCAGGACACAGGTCCCCCTGGCCTTCTGACTCCTTGCAGCAGTTGTCCAGTCATGGTTAAGCTGTGCCTGGCAGGGTTGCCCTTGCTGGTGGTTCTGCTTCCCTGTACTGATCCCCTGTCAGTGAAGATCCTTTGGGCAGGTGCTCACGTGCATCCCTCCACATCCACAGCACGATGCTTCCCACACAGAGAAGCTGTTTCCATGTCCTCTCCTTGCCACTGGCTGTGGAACCCTCCTCGAGAATGTCCCTTCCCACCTCTCCTCCCTAAAATGCAGTGAGCAGGTGTTTCCGTGTTACTCTCATTCCCCATCCCTTCCCTGTCCTCACCCACACTACCAAAGGACACAAATTTCTCTTATTTTGAGCTGGTATTTTTTCTGTATCTCCTTGCAAAGCTTCCCTCTCATTTGTTTCTCCACAAGAGGGGGGTGAAAGGGAAGATATCCGTGACTGGATACACGGCTTTGAATCAAAATAGTTTGCCAGATCTCCATAACAATGTGACAGCAGAGAACGGGCTGGACAGGCTAAAATCGTCAGGACCTAACATACACCCAACTTCAATGTATAAATGCTGTTTTAAAAACTCTAGAAAAACTGCTGAAATGTATTTGACAGTTTTTGGGAAAACCCTTATTCCTGGAGAGGAGCAAATGCCTGAAAAGCATTTGCTAATTGCAGATGCTGATTTGCATTCTAGGATATGAAGGTTTCCTAAAAGTTAAAAAAAAAGCAGAAATAAACCCTGAATATACTATCCAAACTCACGTTGGTTTATTGTATGTTGAGTTCAGTGAAACCAAGACTTTTGACTCTTACTGTAAAACTGTCTTCTGCTTTTAGGCTTGGAAATGGGTGCCTAGTGTGGGCAGGAGAGTAAAACACCAGCAGCCCCTGGTACTGCCTCAGCTCCTACCAGCTGAGCACAGTCCAGGTCCCACTGTCTGGTGGGAAGGAGGGAGGGAGGAAGGGAGGAGAGGGGCTGTGAGGACCTCCTTGTTGTCTCCACTGCATCTGACACTGAGGATTAATACGAGCAGGAGAGCTTTTGCACGTTGGATAACTGCCTGGGTGAAGTGTTGCATCAACTCTGCACTTCTGTCGAGGATGAGGATGGTGGGCAACCAGATCATGGTTTATCAGGAGTCAGTTTCCCGATAAGCAGAGTGCAACATGTGGATTGAAGCTGTCAGTTCACCAAAGAAGCCAGGTTTAAGCCACGAATAGGGCTGTGTTCAGTGAAGCAGTGCTACAAGAGAGAGTACTGTTCTGTTGAGTCTGGAGGAGAACAGTGTAGTGCAGTGTTTAGAGATGCTGGGTTAATACCAAAACTATTTACAAACACAGTGTTTGAGGGCTCCAGGCCAAGTTTAAAGCCTGTGTGGCATGGAGCAGGCACTGAGGGGCAGATCCCTGATCTGGGGATAGATCTTCCCATTCAGGTGCTGATCAGTCTTGCTGTAAGCTGTGCATGTTCCATCCCTGGAGGTGTTCAAGACCAGATTGGATGTGACTTTGATCCACTTGGTATAGTGGAAGATGTCACTGCCCATGGCAGGGATGATCTCTAAGGCCCTTTCCAACTCAAACTATTCTATGATTCTATGAACTAACATGACACCTTCTCTAAATCTAGGGAAAGTGATGGCCTGGTGGATTGGCAGGCCTTCCAAGAGGAGATACATTTTATTTGCAACCTAATTGTCCTTTGTCTCTTTTTAACGAGCAGCAAATTTCTGCCTCGACAGGAAGCTCTGGGGCAGAGCTGGCAGCACTCCTGGCTGGTGGAAGCAGCAAACCCCTGGGATGGACAGCCACGTGCCCCATCTCCATTCTCCAAGAACAAGAAAGACAGGCAGCAGTATTTTATCCACCTGGGGCAGAAAGAAACCCCTGGGGAGCCCTGCTTTGCAACCTCAGTTCACACATCAGAGCTGTTCAGACTTTTGTTATGGTTCTGCATTCTTTAAATGAGAGGTCGGTGTGAGGCTCACCAAAAAAGGCAGATGCCACTTTGAAGAGCTCACATTTGAAGCCAGGATCTCCTGACTCATCCACACACATTGTACCTGGTGCACTTTAATCCTCGTGGCCCTTCTTGCACAAAAGCAGCGTCTTCCTCAGTTGCACCCTGTGTTTCCATGGGCAGGCAGTACAATTCACTTTAAAGGGAATAATAAATGGATTCCCAATTCTCACCGCTCCTGGATGGCAGCGGACAATCCAAAATGAGGTTAAGTCTGTTTCCAGCTTTCTCTTATGGCAGATTTCTCACAGCAGGGCAACAGCTCAGGTGAAGGACCATGCAAAGCTGTGCCCTCCAGGATGAGTCACGCCAGCTCTGGCTCTAACGGAGGTGGAACTCTGCGCTGGGAGTAAAAGAAGAGGTTGTAAACTTCAGAGTGAGAGAGTGGAGGATTTAAATCAGGGTCAAGTCAGACAAAATTCACCTTCCTTTCAATTAGATCATGAAAGCCTCAAGCACCCTGCCAAGTCTCCCTCGGCTTGCTGCCCTTATTCTTTTCCAGGAGTGAGAGCTCTTCCAAGTCACCCTACAGCCCACAGAGCAGTACACTACTTCTGAGGCTGGCTGATAGGGAAAAGCCAAGGCAGAATAACTGGTGTCAAAAATTGTTTGTTTTGAGCTAAGTATCAAAGAATAATTCAAATTGCAAGGGACCTCTGCCACCACAGTCCTTCCTGACATCACATGGGGAGGGTCTACAGAGCTTTTCCCGCTGGCAGCTGCACAGCCCACACCAAACCCAGCCACTGGCAGGACCCAGCTCACATTTATCACACACCCACACTGCAAAGATCTCAGTGCCTGTGACGAGTGTCACGGCCAAACCAGTCTGAGGGGGGAAAGCTCCAAGAGGTTTCCCACCCAGTGCTCCAGGCTGGAACACTCCCAGAGACAGAAAATTAATTCTGTGCCTCTAGAGACATAGTAAAGGTATTGCTAAGACTGGTAACTAAACCCAGAAACTTCAGCCTTATATCAAATGTATGACACATACATGGTACTTAGGTTGATCTGTCTGAAAAAATAAAATGTATTATATTTATATATGCTCTTAATAGAAATAAATAATAAAAATATTATTAAATACACATCTGCTACTATATTTAGACATTAACAGAGCATCAGTAAAAAACCAATAAATAAAATAAAAATACCAATACTGATTTTTACCAATAAAATGCTTTTTGATGGAGTAGGAAATGGATACCAAACTTTTCCACTCAACATCCTTCACTTGCAGTCCCAAAACAGGAGCTTTAGCTATAATAAATCCTAACTTTTAGGAATGGACCTCCTGAAACCATCCTGTCAGTTCCTGCAGTGAAATTCCAGGATCTGTCTCCCAGGCCTTTGGACACAGCAGGGGCTGCAAGTCCACAAGTCCCAAGGCTGTCCCATGCCTGGTCCAGGTTGTCCCACTGTCCATAGGGGGCTGGGAGTGGCCCTTTGTGACACGGGTGCCTTCCAGGGCCCTTTGTGACACGGGAAATGGGGGTGCCCAGAGACCTTTGTAACATCAGAGACACTGTCCTGCCCCAGGGGTATATAAGGGGTGCAGAACTCAGCCCATCCCAGCTGCTCCCCAGGAGTGGCTCCCTGGATCTCTTACTCTCTCTCTCACTCTCGCTCTCTCCTCTCTCTGTCTCTGCAGGGCGACAGAGATGGGATGGACAAGGACAGGACGACAGAGATGGGATGGACAAGGACAGGACGACAGAGATGGGATGGACAAGGACAGGACGACAGAGATGGGATGGACAAGGACAGGACAACAGAGATGGGATGGACAAGGACAGGACGACGGAGATGGGATGGATGAGGAGAAAGGGAAACCCCAGCTCCCAGCCTGCCCAGGGCCAATGGCCGGGCCTGTGGAGGAGGCCAAGTGGACGTCCCATCGGCCAGAGTGGTAAAGGCTGATGAACACAGAAACCAGGATTAACATCCCATCAGCTGGATCGACGTTGGATTCTGGATGGAATATGCACAGGTGATCACTTTTTCTCTTTCTTTCCCTCTCTTTCATAGCAAATAATAACGAATAACAATAATAGCAAATAACAATAATAACAAATAAATATTTAATAAAACTCTCTAATTGTTTGTGGACTCTGACTCTCGTCGCTCCTTCCCACCACAAGCATTTACGACTCTCGGCTGCTCCCTTTCCCTTATGGGTGGGTCGGCACAACCTGTTCAGAAAAGATGCTGAGTTTTCCAATCCTGCTTCTCTGTTCCTGGGTCATCTCAGGAGCACGGTGGGTGTTGGCAGCAGAAATATTCAGGGAATCACAGAATATCCTGAGTTGGGAGGGACTCATCAGGATCATCCAAGTCCAACTCCTGGCCCTACCCAGGACACCCCAGCAATCCCACCCTGTCCCTGAGGGTGTTGTCCAAATGCTCCTTGAGCTCTGGCAGCCTTGTGGCTGTGACCACTGCCCTGGAGAGCCTATTCAGTGCCCACCACCCTCTGGGGGAAGAACCTTGTCCTGAGATCCAACCTGACCCTGCCCTGTCCCAGCTCCAACCGTTCCCTGAGTCCTGTCCCTGCTCACACCAAGCAGAGATCAGGGCCTGAGGGAACAGAGACTCATCTCTAGATTTCCTCACCCCATCTCCCTCTTGTCCAGCACTTCTCAGGAATTGGACAGCACACAAGGAAACTGTAAAAAAATTCTGTGTTTATTCTTTAGTCATTTCCCTTGCAGAACCACAATCTCCTGGGTGTCCAACACTGCCCAGCCCAAACCTGGCAGGTGCTCCCGTGGTGACTGAGGATGGAACTGCCCAATTCCTCATCCAGGGGGACATATTTTTAGGAATTTTGCTTAAGCGGACCTTAAAAAGAGGAAGCTGTATCATTTGTTTGGCAGCAAAAAGTGCACTAAATAGTAACAATTCTGGGTATTAACACACAGAAAAATAATACAACTGTCTTTTTTTATCGCCCCTTGACCTCCACAAAGTAGAAGGTTCCCATCACACAATCTGCAAAGGCTGCCAGGATCTAAAATCCTCCTCAGCAACTCGAGGACTGTCACAAAGGGCCACCCCTGGCATCCTTAACAGCCATAGGACTGGCTGGAACCAGCTGGAACTGGTTGGATCCACCTGGAACAGGCCTTGTCTGGCTGTGGGCAGCCCCCAGACCTGCAGGCCCTGGTGTGCCCAGACCCCTGGGAGACTTTTGACACAGTCCCACACGACATCCTGATCTCCACACTGGAGAGCCGTGGGTTTGGAGGGTGGGCTACTCAAGGGGTGAGCAATTGGATACATGGATGCAGCCAGAGAGTTGTGGCCAGTGGCTCCTTGTCCAGGGAGAGGTCAAGGATGAGGGATGTCCCTCAGGGCTCAGCCTTGGGACCAGGGCTCTGGAATGTCTTTACTAGTGACACAGACAGTGGGATTGAGCTCACCCTCAGCACGATGGCAGGTGACAGGAGGCTGAGCAGAGCAGGTGAAATAATAAAGGATGGAGCCATCCAGAGGGACCTGAGCAAGTTTGAGAAATGGGACCATGAGAACCTCATGAGGTTCAGTAAGGCCAAGTGAACGGTGCTGCACCTGCGTCGGTGCAACCCCAGGAACACTGAATCCCAGAATCATCAACGTTGGAAGAGGCCTTCAAGATCATCCAGTTCCACAATCAATTCAGCACCAGAATAATCACCCCTAAACCATGTCTCCAAGTGCTACGTGCAGATGCCTCTTGAACACTTCCAAAGATAGTGACCCCACCAACTCCCTGGACAACTTATTGCAATACCTATAACCACTCTTTTAATGAAATTCTTTTTCTAATATCTAATTTGAAACATGAATTTCTCATAAACTAATTGTCAAGACAAGGGAAGACCTGGAATATCTGGGAAGGGAGTTTCTCCTTCAGCTCCTGGACATTATCTGGACCACTTGGGATATCCCACCTCCTTGCAGAGCAGAGAAGGGCAGGGTAAGTCAGCATAAGCACAGATGAAAGGTCTGAGAAAACTCTTCCATGAGGGTTAAAAGAGATTTTCCTCCTTTATTATTTGCTGGAAGCACTCATTCTTTCAACAGACTGTGTTTATTGATATTGTGCAGTGTCAGAGCTAAAAAACAGTAAGAGGAAGCAAGAGAAGGAACAACCCATATTCACAGAGATTTCAACCTGCCCAGAGACACCACTAAACAACCTAAAGAAGAAACAGTCCACACAAAGAAATGTAAAATATTCCCATGAATGGCTATCAGAAAGGATAAGAAGTGAATAACTGTTTTTTAACTCTGGTTACTACAACAGAGAAGAGGGAAAATGAGGAAATTGAGGTGAAACTGGATTTGCTTTTCCAGTCACATACAAAAAATGAAAAAATTGCATTTGGAGTTATTGCAAAATGCTTCACTGCATCCAAAATAGGACATTTAATTTGTTGAATGATGTCACTCTTCTTAACCCTTTAAAAGGTGGCCTATTTTGGAGCAAAAAAATAAATTCACAGAAGATTCTTCAAACTGTGTTTTCCAACTTGTTTATTATATTCTGTCCAAAAAAGCAATTCTCATCTCTACTCAACAAGGGCCTGGGGAGGGGGGTGTAGGCATCGTTTTATGGATCTTTAACACAACCAGTTTTTTAACACCCTATGTGAATTGGCCAAAACCTGAGCTGCTGAAGGAGGAGAGAACATTGTAGGTCAAGGTTGAGAGCCATGAAGTCACGGGGCTCATTTCCAAGCATGCACTGTGCTCTAGCAGCTCCCTGGAGCACGCACCGAGGAACTTTATGTGAACTTAATAGTACTGAAGTGATTTATTCGGAGACAGAGTAAGGAGAGGAAATGCTTGTGTCACTGTCCACGTTCAGGACTGAGGAGCACGCCAGAGTCTCCTTGCAGTCCAAGTTTTATCTTGATAGATGACTAAAATACACCAGAGCTAAACTTAGACTCCTCCACGCAGTATGGTAATATGTGGGAGCTGAGGTTTATTGGATTAGTATGGAGCAACAAACAATGCAGGGAAACAGTACTTTGGGACTGGGGGCCTCAGGGACAGAGGTGCTTAAAATATGTAACGCATGAGAGAATAAACTACTTTTGTTCTTGTTTTCTGTTGCAAAGGGGAAAAGAAGTAGCAGGTAAAAATTTTGAGTGGCACTGTACATCGATGAGATTAGCAAAGGGGAAGCAGACACAGCTAGTTTTACTTGAGGACAGTACTTACAGCTTGTTTTACTAGAGGACCCTCCCTTTTTCACAGTTCTTTGGCCTGGTGAACTTGCACAAGGTTTCCTAAAATCCCTTATGTTTTCCTGGTGTGCTTCAGCAAGGCTGTCAGACTCAGCTGGCACCAGTCATGGATGGGATGGAAACCAAGAGTGCACAGGGAACCTGCCACAAGAATTCAGGCTCTCTAGACACAGTGGCAGAGAGGGACCTGCAAAGGAAAATAAGTAATTGTTTAGGTCAGAAATGACAGTCTTACCCCAAAGCACACTCTGACAGAGTGAGGGCTGCCAGGAGGCACACACAGCCAGCTGCCTGCACCCTGCCCATTTGGAGGGGAGGGGCTGTCTCCAACATCAGGAAATTAGTTTCCTTTTGCACGTGCCCCTTTGTGCAGCCCCATCCCCATCCCCTGCCACACAAGGGCTGGGGTTCACCTGGGACTTCCCTGCTCCAGACCTCCCGAGAATGCAGGCACAGCCCAGATCACCCTGTGCCCTATCCAGGGTTCTTGTCTCCTTCTGGCCATGCTGTTTTGTAAACACTAACTTCAGCAGCTGCTTTTCCATTGCTCTTCAAACCAGCATAGCCTTGGCAGGAAAGAAGACACTGGTAGTTAATCTATCAAGAAATATTCTGGCACTTCGTACTTGCTGGTGTGCTTAAAACAGCATCTGCTGCTCCTTCACAGTTACACCAGTGTAAGAGTGCTTCCAGCAAACACAGTTCATTTCCACTTGGGAAAGAATAACCTCCCAGCAGGTAGCAGCTTTCTTCATGCCTGTGGTATTTGAGGACTCTCTGAAACTTTGACCCCTGCAAAAAGCCCACCTTAACCTGAGGGTAGCACAGGGCATCTCCTGACATCAGCAGGAGATAAAAGCAGAGGCTCCATTGACCATTCCCTATGAAAACATTTTAGCTCATAATTTTCAAAGGCTGCAGGTAACTCTGGAGAGCTGCACTGTGAGCTTGTTAAGGAAAATCTGCCAGTGACTCACAGAGCTCTGCTCATCACTGGCACCCTCTGAAGTCACTTGTTCTTCTGCAGTGACGGTGGCACTGTGCACCCCCTGTCACCAAGGTGGGAGGTGAGGGGACTGTGGGCAGTCTCTGAACATCACTGTGGTTGAGCAAAGTGATGAAGCCTTTCATAAAACTTGGGATGTG